GACCCGTTGTGTGGCCCGTAGTGCCTGCTGTGTGGCCCCTAGTGACCTACTGGGACAGTCTGCGTGCTGCTGGCCGGCCGCCACGCCGGCAAGCGCGTCGTGCTGCTGGGAGCCCTGCCCAGTGGCCTGCTGCTCGTTACTAAGCCCTTCGCGGTAAGGATAGACTGGATTTATACCTCTAAAAATAGTCTACAAAAACTACACTGTTAGAGTAAACAATTGAAAAAGTTAACGGGTTTCTGCTCGTCATGAGACCCTTCGCGGTGAGTGCCTGCTGTGTGGCCTTTGGCCTCCATATCCGGCAATAAGTGCCCTGCTTGAGTGAGAGGCTAGTGTAACTTCGCCAAACATTGAACTATTGGCCTGCTCCTCGTCACATGACCCTTCGCTAGATTTACCTCTCAAAACTTTCAAAACTGCTCTTCAAAGGATGCTTTGTGGTGAGTTTAGACTAAATGTACCTCTCACGTGCCGCTAAATACGTGAAGGCCAGCCTGATGTTTATTACAAGACCTGACAGATAGTGATTACCCAAACCCTTCTTTTTTAGCCCAGGAATATGTTCTGTCCTTGCCTACCTTTAGGGGGGTGTGGGACTGAGGTGGAACTGTTCAGAGTCTTTGGTTCTAGAAACGAAACATCCTGCCCTCCACTACAGGACCCACCACGCCTCCCTTAATTGCAAATCGGATGACAGTATCGAATATAGTGTGAAAACTTACCATATTAATATTTTCAACTACTCCGTATCGTATTGTCACGGATTCTGATCGGATGCAACTGTACTAACGCTGGCTACTTTCATCGTTTTAATTTAGCAGCTGTTCTAATTCTAAGTAGAATCACAACAATCGGTGTGACTTCTGTCATTAAACAACCTCTTATCTCCTTAGTTCAACTCGTGCCCGCTCAGGCGCATTCCCCAGCGCTACGTCATCGGCACGTCCACCAAGCTGGACCTCGGCGCCTTCCAGCTGCCAGCGCACCTCGACGACGCCTACTTCAAGAAGAACAAGCGGAGCACCAAGCGCAGCGTCAAGCGTAAACAGGGAGAAGACATCTTCGCCACCAAGAAAGAGGTAACTAGTTCTTACCGTTTAGGATTTCATTGTTTTCATAAAAAAAATATGAAATTTAGAAAAAAACGTAAACAGGCAACTTTGTTACCTCAGCGTCTAGTCTAGCATTGTTTCAAGTTGTCATAAATTGCTTCCATTGTACAAATCGTAGTGACGACTGTATAATATAACTAGCTTTCCGCCAGCGGCTTCGCCCGCGTGGACTTCGAAACACCCAAATATTTTACGGAACCCTATGTTTTTCCAAAATAAAATATAGCCTATGGGGCATTTCACGCGAAGCGGACAGCTAAAATCAAGTCAGGTTTTGGATTTTGTTCATATTTGGATTAAATGTACTGCTATATGACCTGAATGGATGTGCATCATTATATTTTTTTTATGAAGCTTAGTTTATTTTTTATGAGCGTTCAAAAAATTGGTAAAATTTTAGGAACAGATTTTTCAGAAGGTATTACTGCTATTATT